TTTACTGTCTAAAGGAGGGGTAGATATGCTTTCTGTCTCTCCAATCACCAGCCCTAACTGTGGCAGATTACTAGAGTGGGGGGGATTTGGTCGGTAGGGTGTGTCATATAATTGTGCACCTACCGGCAAACCAGACGCAAATCTGGCCCTGACTCACCAATAGCGAGTTGGAAAAACTATGCTGAATTAAAGAAATATTAAAATTCAGATATTTTAGCTCAAATTCTACTTATTGTCAACTCATAACAATCATCTGTTTTACCAAACACCCCATTGGAATAAACTGTAAATTAAATAACTAAATTTAGGTTGAAATAGCCAAGTTTCAACTATAGATCTTTTTCTGGAAAACCTATTTTTGCCTAAGTTTTACAATTATTTTTATTTTATTTTTTATTTTAGGTCACTGCAATTTAGTGTTTAGTAAAATATCAGCAACTAAATGTAATCTCAAAAAACTTAATTTTCCAGTCAATCCCTACATCCGAATTGATAAACTCTACAAATTTTAAGTCATATTTCTCTATAAAAAAAAATGAGTTAATTGTCCATAGTTTGTAAGTAGTTGACATAAATATTTTTTCTAATTAATCAGTTCACTCCAAAGCACAAAATGGTAAAAATGTGGCACAAATTAATTTTTTTTTTTTAAATTTCTAAAAAAAAATGATCATGTTTGTGTCGGCCATAAAAATATTGCTCATTGATAAAATGATAATCCCTTAAACGCAATTAAAATTGTTTCCGGCTCCAGTTACCCCATTAATTTGTTCTCCGTGTCCCAGCGCTGCTCAGGCGCAGGCTGGGACACAGCTTCTCCACAGCACGCTTTTGGCAAACGTTTGATGTAATTTGTAAGTGTAAAAAAAAAATGGCGAAAGGGTATTTTTCAAACCATTGCTGCTATAAGTACAAATACTGTGAGATTTGTTTTATATAATAAATTCATAGTGAAAAAAAAACTGCAAGATTGACAGTATTGTAATCCAAGTCCAATTAAAATCTAATATCATCTATTAATTAAGCTCAGTAGTTAGATCTACAAACATATAAAAACTCGTATTTTGAGATAAGTCTTCCCAGACTAACTACAGCTTTAGTATTGGAACCTAATCACTACCCGTAGTATTCACTATGTTGTCCAGTAACTGCTTTATCTCAGAGCGAAAGTGTGAAGTCATCGAGACCAGTCGACCCTTTATGACATCACCGCAGAATGCGTGACATAAAGTAACAGGGCATGAGTGTAGAGCAGTATGTCTTTTTTACCGCTTCTCTGGACAATATGACTTGAGGTTCATACATTTTTTTTATTTTTTTTATTTATGTGAAACAAATCTTTCAAACTCTGACGTAAAGTTAAATTGAGAAATATTTACCATGAATCATTTTACCTCATGTTATTACCACAAGTGTTATGTTTTACTTTTTTTAGTGCTAGTGTTTGTTTCCTGTAGACCAATTAGGTGAATAAAACCTTAGTGTTAGGCAATAGAAAGTAGGTAACCGTGTTTATTACTGGTGAAATATTTTTACGCAGTGTGTATGTCTTCCCATATTCTATTTGGAAGTGAAGTGTAACCCATACTTGTTTATTTGCTTATTATGGGGTGCAGATCAGGGGTCGTTGTGCACTATTCTTGCCTGTGTCTATAAAGCGTGTTCACCATATTTTAATTGTAACAGAATCTGTCTGTGAATGTCTTAGACATTCACAGCCCTTTAAAGAGACTTAACCCCTTAAGGACACATGACATGTCTGACATGTCATGATTCCCTTTTATTCCAGAAGTTTGGTCCTTAAGGGGTTAAAGCATCTTTTAAATCAAGCGTGTATTTCCAAATCCCAAATAATGCTACCTCGCTCCCACCTGCTTTCATTGCAGTATCTTCATTTACGTTTATTTAAATCCATTTTCTCAGATAAAATTCCCTAAACCTGCTCAGTCATATTTAGTGACAGTGCCAGTCTCTCCAATGTTTTAATGATGTAGGCATCACCAGTGATCTCTCTAGAACCCACATTTTGCCACTTAATATGGGTCCCATCAGACATCATGTCGACTTATTCATTCCTGACATTTTCCAAACCCTGCGCTGATGGGGTTTATACACTAAAAACCAGATTGTAGTCATCTGAAAACTAGACTGCAAAATGTAGGTGATAATAGCTGACTGGAAAAAAAAATGCTTGTGGGAAAATTGTAAAAAAAAAAATCAGCTATAGTCAAATATTTTATATTTTAGCCTTTAATTTCCAATTTTCTTTTCAGTTAACTATAAATTAGTATTTAGTGAATAAGCCCTTTTATGTTTTTTCAGCAAAGCAGATTTATATTTTTACTATCAGCAAGTGAATGAAAGGGTTAATTTACTATACAGGGTGTTTCAAAATAATGGTCCTGATTTGAAATCACTATATCTCTGCAACCACGAACTGCGTATGAATAAAACTCTTACCACTTGTAATAGTGGGGCATAGAGTTTCAAATAATTACCGCTGGATGCATCTCCCAGCGCACAAGCAGCCCCTAGCCTCAGACATTCACAACCCGCACAACACAAAGCGTTTTGCGTTCTGCAGTTCAGCAAGACTGAATCGCTAATTGTGGTGCAGTGTTTCAATGGCGTTTTGGCATTGATCTGCCATTGCCACAGAGTATTTATCATTAGTACCAACAATTTGGGGAAACAGGATGTTTATCTAAAGCAGGGGTTTCCAACCCAGTCCTCAAGTACCCCCTACCAATCCAGGATTTAGGGATTACTTTGTTGTGTCCAAAGCAGGCCCGGACTGGCCATCGGGCACACCGGGCAAATGCCCGGTGGGCCGCGGTGGCCATGGGCCGAGGCCGGCAGGGGAGGTCCCAAGACATTCCCTGCCGGTCTATGCAGGGCCGGCACTATCCGAGCGCCGGCCCTGCTGTCTTCCATGGAGGGCCGGTGGGGAGATCAAAGCTCTCCCTCACCGGCCCATTTAAATAGACCGGCGGCTGGGGAGAGAGGGAGAGGATCCGGCGGAGCTCTATTTTGCAGCTCCGCTGGGTTCCTCTCGCGAGATCGGGAGCGTTGCCATGGCAACGCCCCGATCTCGCGAGAGTCACCATTGGACCACCAGGGATCGTGTGTGAATGGGGTCCCGCCCCCCCCCACTCACCCCCACCCCCCACTCACCAGCGTGCCGGACCCCTCCCCCTCCCAGGCTAAAGGTAAGGGGGGAGATAATGCATGATTAGTGTTTTTGTTTATTTACCCCCCTTATTTTTTTTTATTTGTATATTTATTCCCACTTAGGTTTTTATTTGTTTATTTACCCCCCAACACACAACATTTATACTCAGCAGCACTCAGCACTCACACACACTACACAGCACTCACACACATCATACACAGCACTATTACACTCAGCACTCACACACATATACACAGCACTCACACACACACTCAGCACTATACACTCAGCACTCACACACACATTATTACACAGCACTCACACACATCATACACAGCACTATTACACTCAGCACTCACACACATCATACACAGCACTATTACACTCAGCACACACACATCATACACAGCACTATTACACTCAGCACTCACACACATCATACACAGCACTATTACACTCAGCACTCACACACATCATACACAGCACTATTACACTCAGCACTCACACACATCATACACAGCACTCACACACATCATACACAGCACTATTACGCTCAGCACTCACACACATCATACACAGCACTCACACACATCATCACACTCAGCACTCACACACATCATACACAGCACTCACACACATCATACACAGCACTCACACACATCATACACAGAACTCACACACAGCACTCACACACATCACACTCAGCACTCACACACATCATACACAGAACTCACACACAGCACTCACACACATCACACTCAGCACTCACACACATCATACACAGCACTCACACACATCATACACAGCACTATTACGCTCAGCACTCACACACATCACACTCAGCACACTACACAGCACTCACACACATCATACACAGCACTCACACACATCATACACAGCACTCACACACACATACTGCACCCCTCACATACACACACAACCCCCCGATACACTGCATCACACACATACACAATACTTCCAAACATATTTATATAATGTATATATATACACACAGCACCCCTCACACACACACAGCACCCCTAAACACATTTCATTCCAGACACACACTAGATCCTCTACCCAACTCTGAATCATCTACACACACTAGATCCCTATATACACTCTGAATCCGTTATATACGCACGCTCACTAGATCTCCCATACGTAGTCTGGGTCCTTCACACACACACAGTCTGGATCCCCTATACGCACACTAGATTCCTTGTAAGCAAACCCATACATTCCCTGAACACACACACACACACACACACACTATAGCCTGTATATACATACACACACACACACACACACACTATAGCCTGTATACACACACTTGCTACATCCCCTATAGACACATTCTCTACAGCCCCTAGCCACATATGCATTACATTACACCACAAACACAACACAACTAAAACCGACCTTATTACACAATACCACACCACGACCAGCTCACTCTGCACACACGCAATACCACAAGCAGGCTCCAAACACATGCACAATACTCTTTCCTGGCCCTTTTGTCTCCTGGTATCCATTTATAGAGACACCAGAGACAAGTTGCAAGGAAACACAGTGCAAGCATGTTATTAAATTTGCTTGCACTGCACAGAACAAATACAGGGCTTTTTTCTCATGCTAGAGCTCTTCAGCAGAGCTCTGTGCATGGTCTGCCCTGGAAGAGCATTGAACCAACATGCTCACTTTGAGAGGGCGCGTGTTTGTCATGAGTGATGACAAAACACACCCTCTCTGCCCCGCCCCCTTCTTAATGGGCCGCTGTGATAAAAAAATGCCTGGGCCGAATTTTTTCCCCAGTCCGGCCCTGGTCCAAAGTGTTTTTTGTTCTTCTAAAAACATCTTAGGCACAATTTGGTAATCCCTAAATCCTGGACTGATAGGGGGTACTTGAGGACTGGATTGGGAACCACTGATCTAAAGGGAAGAGCACAGGATGACCACGCACTTCAGAGGAAAATGTGAAACGAATTCAAGGGAGTTTTCGGGGTAGCCCAAGCAAGTTCGATTGTTGAGCCAGCCGAGAACTTGCGATCTCTTATACAGTAGTCTGGTGTGTGTTAAGGCAATAATTTAATCATGTGGTTATACCAGTTGCAACTGGTACAGGCTCTTCATTCAGGTGACAAAGGAAAGTGTATGGAATTTAGTGATGCGATGTTACAGAACATGGAGGACGACAGCTTCTTACCGCTTTAGATTTTTAGTGATGAAGCAACACTTCATTTCACTCAAGTGGTAAAGTTAACCGTCACAATGTGCGCATACGTGGATTACGGAATCCACACAAAACTGTAGCGAATGAGCGTAATTCCCAGAAAGTGAACATGTTTTGTGCCGCTTCTCAAAAAAAAGTTTATGGCCATTTGTTTTTCCAGGGAAACACAGATATGTGGCAAACGTATCTTGAAATACTGCAGAACTTGTTCTGTCCACAACTTAATGAAGATTCCGATGTCTTCATTTTTCAGCAAGTCAGAGCACCGCCACATTTAGCGTGCGTTAAAACAGCGTTTTAGCATTAATCTGCCTATGTGAAAAGAATTTTCACGTTGGCGGATCACATTTTCGCATTGGTGGATTGACCTGCGGGTGCAACGTTTTTACATCAGACACTGCCTCAACATTCGATACGTCGCACGGAACCCCAAGACTTGGCGCTACACTCTTGGCACCCATCTCCAGACATTACACCTTGCAACTTTATCTTGTGGGGATACGTCAAAGAACGTGTTTTTGTGCCACCATTAGTGACTAATCTGGATGACCTCAAAAACAGAATCAGGCAACGAAGACTTCAGTGAAAGAAGAAACTTTGAGAGAGGTTTGGGACAAATTCAACTATAATCTCAATGTTTCCCATAAAGCAGGTGGAGGCTATATAGAGCATTTATAAAATGGTTAGTAAAACTTGATAACTCAATAAACCATTTGTAACTTTTGGTGTAACTGTAACATGTTACCATCATGAAACATACTGCTTTGAGTTTGGGTCCATCATTTTGAAACACCCTGTATACAGTGTTCTATGCTGAGTTTCGATATGAATATTGTGTGACAATACCCTGGCCAGTGGCGTACATACCAGGGTCGCAGGGGTCGCGGCTGCGACCGGGCCCGGCCCACCAGGGGGCCCGGCCTCCCCTGCGACCCGGTATGTAGCCACAGGGCCAGCCTCTTCTCCTGGGGGGCCCGGGAGGCGGCCACCCCAGGCCCCCCGAGGCTGGCCCTGCTGACCCCGGCGGGCGGGCTGTCTGGGCGGCCGGTGCGCGAGGGAGCACTTTACACTGTGTGCTTCCTCTTCAGCTCCCTCACGCACCGCACTGATGCCGGAGCCGGAAGATGACGTCATCTTCCGGCACCGGCATCCCTACGCGGCGCGCGAGGGAGCTGAAGAGGAAGCACACAGTGTAAAGTGCTCCCTCGCGCACCGGCCGCCCAGACAGCCCGCCCACCCAGTGACCAGGAGCCCTGCAGCACCACTGGACCCCAGGGAATCCCCCCAGCACTCCAAAAGGTAAGGAGGCTGGGGGGATTATATTTAAAAAAAAGTGTGTGTTTGTGTGTTAGTGTATGTGTGTGTTAGTGTTTGTGTGTGTTAGTGTATGTGTGTGTTAGTGTGTTTGTGTGTGTTAGTGTGGGTGTGTGTGTCAGTGTGTGTCCGTGTGTATGTTAGTGTATGTGTGTGTTAGTGTGTATGTTAGTGTATGTGTGTGTTTGTGTGTGTGAGTGTGTGTTATTGTGTGTGTGTTAGTGAGTGTGTGTTAGTGAGTGTGTCTGTGTGTGTGTCAGTGAGTGTGTCTGCTAGTGAGTGTGTTACTGTGTGTGTTTGTCAGTGAAAGTGTATGTTTTGTAAGTGAGTGTGTATATATGTCTGTCGCTGAGTGTGTCTGTCAGTAAATGTGTGTGTCTGTTAGCTAGTGTGTATGCGTCTGTTCGTGAGAGTGTGTGTCTTCAGCATTTACCTTTCTCCAGCGTCGGACTCCCCAGTGTCCGCCTCTCAGCTCCGAATGCACATGCGCGGCAAGAGGCGCGCGCGCATTTAAACCGCCCATAGGGAAGCATTACTCAATGCTTTCCTATGGACGGTCAGTGTCTTCTCACTGTGATTTTCACAGTGAGAATCGCGGAAGCTCCTCTAGCAGCTGTCAATGAGACAGCCACCAGAGGCTGGATTAACCCTCAGTGAAACATAGCCGTTTCTCTGAAACAGCTATGTTTTCAGCTGCAGGGTTAAAACTAGAGGGACCTGGCACCCAGACCACTTCATTGAGCTGATGTGATCTGGGTGTCTGTAATGGTCCTTTAAGTGTGTGTGCATACCGCGGTCGCGGGGTCGTAGACCAGGTGCCCGCCGCCATGTGTCGGGGGCCGACCCGCGCCGAGTAAGCGTGGGGGACCTGGATCATTTTTCGCACTGGGGCCCCATGGGTCATGTGTACGCCACTGACCCTGGCCCATGTTAAATGAAGTGTTGACAAGATGGCGTTCATGATTAATACACTGAGAAATGTAACTATTACTTTAATTCAGGATATATAGAAAATGTATGCTGAGATTGGACTTTGATGGAAATCCATCTCAGATTAATTTGCAAATGTATATTATTCCATTCTCTGTTAATTGACACTACACAAACCCTACTTGATTTATGAAATATGTTGCTTTCAAGACCTTTTTGTCCATTTTTCATTTCATAACAATTTTAACAAAGCTTACTTTAATCCGGTCAGAGTAAAAACCTGTGTAAACCAGTCAGTGCCATGCTGATGAGCCTTTTGGAACATGACAGCTGCAAATTGCTTCGCTCAGATATTATCCTGCCCATGGCTGTTAGGGACACTATAAACCTGTATTTCTAACACTGTATTGCCCCTGTCTCTAGTAATATCTAGCCCCCTCCCCTTGCTGTAAAAAATATTTAAAAGCTTTTGAATTACCCTTTTTCGGCGCCGAGACTCTTGGCAGGCACTGCTCACTTCTCCACCTTCCACAACATCATCATGGAGGCATGACCTCACTGAAAATGATTGGGGACCCTATGCGCATGCGCGGTGAGGGCTGAGCACTCATCCAATGCATTCACATAGTAAAGCATTACATTTATTGCTATCCTACGGGCTTCTGTGTTCCAAGTTCCGCGTGGTCCATACAGCAGAAGCTCTGCTAGCGGCTGTCAGGAAATCAGCCACTCAAGGTGAATTTAACCCTCTAACGTTTTACATTGCAGGCTTAAAAAGTCAGGACCACTGCACCCAGACCAATTCCTGGGTGACTATAGTGTTCCTTTAAATCATGTGTTATAAAACAGGGGGGCATCGCACTGGGAGCCAGCAGAAATGTAAGCTGGAAATCAGAGAGTGACACCGCTATCTGTGTTTATTTGCATATTTTGTGTGGTATTCTGGGAGAGCTGTGGAAATATCTGAGAATCTATAGAGCAGTTTATCAAGACTTTAGTTTCATGTTTTGCTCCTGAAAAGAAAACACTGTAGTAAATGCCTTATAGGAACACCTGTCGTCATATTATATATAAAAAGGAACATTTGGCATGTGTGATATGGCCATGAGGTGGAGCCATTTCAGAGCAGTATAAGCAAATTACTTACCTAACTGCAAGTTTTATTTAGAACAAGATTGACATATCTTACTCCAGACAGGTTTACTGCAGTTTAAAAGACACTACTGTGACACACGCACTCAAACTGTACATTACTGGGAGTTTTATTGCTGCGGAGCTCTGTGATACATGCACTCAAACTGTACATTACTGGGAGTTTTATTGCCGTGGAGCTCTGTGATACATATTCAAACTGTACATTACTGGGAGTTTTATTGCTGTGGAGCTCTGTGATACATGCACTCAAACTGTACATTACTGGGAGTTTTATTGCCGTGGAGCTCTGTGATACACATTCAAACTGTACATTACTGGGAGTTTTATTGCTGTGAAGCTCTGTGACACGCATTAAAACTGTACATTACTGGGAGTTTCATTGCTGTGGAGCTCTGTGATACAATCATTCAAACTGCACATTACTGGGAGTTTTATTGCTGTGGAGCTCTGTGATACACTCATTCAAACTGAACATTATTGGGAGTTTTATTGCTGTGGAGCTTTGTGATACACTCATTCAAACTGAACATTATTGGGAGTTTTATTGCTGTGGAGCTCTGTGATACACTCATAAAAACTGAACATTATTGGTAGTTTTATTGCTGTGGAGCTCTGTGATACACTCATTCAAACTGCACATTACTGGGAGTTTTATTGCTGTGGGGCTCTGTGATATACTCATACACACTGCAGAATACAGTGAGTTGTATTTTTATTTTATTTTTGTCCCTTTAATGAGACACTTCAATAAACGATTTTCATTTGCTGTCAAAATTCAAGTAATTATTTTTAATTTCATAATTAACAATTCTCTTGTAAGTTTAACAGCTCTTTACAATGTTTAGAACACTCCAAACTGTGTAAAAATATATATAAATATATGCAAAGAAATGTATTTAAATGTAAAATTATTTATTGATATTTTGCCGAAGCTTAGGATGCATTTAAAGTTTGTTAAATTCTAATGACATGTCAGCTATGCGTGCTGAATTAGAGGCTTGCAATGCTTTGTAAGAGTTTGCATGACTGTAAAATAAATGAAGAAATGAAGAAATTTATTTCTCCTGTGGCTATAAAACATGAAAAGTCCAACAACAATGTAAATGAAAATAGATGATTAGTTTATGCAATAAATCTGTCGATTACAATGTGTTTGGTGTGATTATTAACAGACAGTCACTGGGTTCACACAATAACCAACATATTAACCAACATATTAGTTTGTAATTGTAAATATACGGAGAGGAGGTATATTTCTATAAACGTCTGCATGCACACCTCGTACATATATACCGTATTTACTGTATATATGCCGTACATATTTACGTATTAAATTAAGTTTCACATAGGCGAAGTAAAACTGGTGAATTCACACATGCAAATTTTGTTCCTAAAAGAGGGCTTAAGAAAGAATAGACTTAACATCTAACACAGAAATTGAAATACCATCAATGTTACTATGGTATATGGCAAGAAGCATTTTCATTGTAGCACTATGTTGTATAGTAGTATAAATGCGCATTACATTCGCCAGCAAAAACATTATTCTAGCTTCCAGGTTTCAAAAAGGTGCGCAGTAGATTCGATGGCGCAGTAGATTTGAGTAAATATGGTTCAGAATATGTGGAGAATTTATAAAGGAATGGCAAATTATGGACAAAATGGAAAAATTTCCCCAAGCCCACATCTAGAACTATTGTCCAGATCTCCTATTCTACATAAAATATACAAATTCCTAGCATGTCTTTACAATTTAGTAAATAAATTCCAAATATATGTGTAATATATATTGTATAATCACAATATACACTTACCTTTAATTTTGGTAGGTAAAACACCTTTATAATTAATATCCCTCATGGTATTAAAAATGCATATACTTCTAAGGAGGAAGTATGATATTCTGATTTTACATATACACTGAACAAAATTATAAACGAACACTTTTGTTTTTGCCCCCATTTTTCATGAGCTGAACTCAAAGATCTAAGACTTTTTATATGTACACAAAACGCCTATTTCTCTCAAATATTGTTCATAAATCTGTGTTAGTGTGCACTTCTTCTTTGCTGAGATAATCCATCAACCTCACAGGTGTGGCATATCAAGATGCTGATTAGACAGCATGATAATTGCACAGGTGTGCTTTAGGCTGGCCACAATAAAAGGCCACTCTAAAATGTGCAGTTTTACTGTATTGGTAGGGTCCAAAAACCAGTCAGCATCTGGTGTGATCACCATTTGCCTCACACAGTGCAACCCATCTCCTTCGTATAGAGTTGATCAGGTTGTTGATTGTGGCCTGTGAAATGTTGGTCCACTCCTCTTCAATGGCTGTGCAAAGTTGCTGGATATTGGCAGGACCTGGATCACGCTGTCATATACACCGACACAGAGCATCCCAAACATGCTCAATGGGTGACATGTCCGGTGATTATGCTGGCCATGCAAGAATTGGGATGTTTTCAGCTTC